CCCCAAAACCCCAAAACCCCAAAACCCCAAAACCCCAATTGCCTGAGTAAATCTGGTATTTAAGGATACTAATTCAAAAATATAATAAAAATATCTTAATTTAATCAAAGACCACTTTAAAGCAAATTATAAACATGCAAAATATACTAAGAAGATGTAAGACTATTCTAAAATTTCAACCTTTTCCTATAGCTGCCAGAGTATCAAATAACTCAAGTAAAAGCCATAGGAACTCCGAGAACCCATCTACCGGCTCAAAAAATCAGCAGCAGTTGGACAGCTAGGAAAAAATATAAGCTGCAAATATCAGTGAAATCACCTTGCTATCTACAGAAGAAGATTTACTCAGATATCAAGAACAAGGGTACGATATCAAAGAGTAATTAAATGACTCACACTTGTATCTCCTTCATAAATTGGACGACTTAGTCATACTAAGCGGCTAAAAGGAGGATGAAGACGTCCGAGAAACTTAGCTAGAAACTCAGGAATAGATAGAATAGCGCAGAATTTTCAGGCCAAGATAATCTATTCCAAATTCAAAAGTAGTTTAAATATATCTTTAAAAGATACTTTTAGATAAGATCTTTGAGAAGTTCTCAAAATCAAAATCCTGAGGACTAAGGTGTTCTGACCAGAAGTCAAAGAGCATCACTGTCATAAAAGTAATCCTCTTAGTAGTAAGAGCAACCCTTATCATCACAAAGCAGATAAGAAGTAGAGGTTGTGGTGGAGGATGCATAATCAGAGGAAGAGAAAAAGGAATAAGCATTAGAGGAGGAAGAGAAAAATTAGTAAAATCTATTAAATATTAAACATAATTTTATAGGATTGTTGTCTTTGAAGTAAGTGATATTAGCAGTGGTTCCTTCTTAAATCAGCGATAAAGCCAATAATAAGAATCATCAAGTCTTGAAAATTCATTGTCTTCAAGAAGCAGATATAATATAATAAACCATCTTTACAATTATCAAAGACATTAAATGCCAGAAAACGACGAAGAATTTTCATTAATGGAGCATCCAACAGTGCTCAACTCTGTCGAAAAGCAAAGGATTTGATAGCGCCGCTAATAGAGGAGGTAGGAGAGAGAATAAGAACAAAGGAGAAGAAACGAGTAAGAATATAGAGAATGGAGACAATAATAAAGAGAGTAAAATAGGCTCGCAAGAGAAAGGAGGCGATAATAAATGGAGTAAAATCGGCTCGAAAGAGAATAATAAAGAATGGAGTATGAACAACAATAACGAGACTATTGGAATAACTAGAATGATTCATAGGAAGATGAGGATGGTAGAGCTAGAAGGAGGCGGAGATTAAATGATAGTTCGGCACTAGAGAATAGACCTCCATTCTCGCTTCATTGGAATCATCCGGAGAGGATGACCTTAACTAGAAGAAATGAGGAGCAAGAATATTATGAAATAATTGAGGGTCAAGTAAGAGACCGAGCAGCTACTCGTAATAATAGACCAAGGCCTTGGAATGACCACAAAACTAGAAGGCAGTAAGAACAGGAGGAAAGAAAAGAGGAGAGAGAGGAACCTCCCAGAAGAAATCCCAATCAGTAAGTCCCTCCAAATCCTAAAAAAAGAAAAACTAGACCTAATTGGAAATGAATTGTAAATAGTACATATAGCAATATTATAGTTATAAAATTATATAAATTAATATAAACTAATATATCAGATAAATCTAATTTAATTAATTAAGCGGGGTTTTGGGGTTTTGGGGAGATCGGAAGAGCGTCGTGTAGGG